TATCTCGTGGCCTATTACAAGGGGATCTAATTCGATTAAGAGAAACGGGAATCGATCGAAATGTGTTGAGAAAAGAAATGAGTTCTCGATTGGTCTCAATCTCCGTACCTTCCGAGTTTACTCGTCAACCACGAGATTTTGATCAATTGAAACACTGGAAAAGTTCAGAATTCGATTCTTTTCTAGCATATTTTATTTATGTGACTCTAAAGGGATTGTTGAAAGCTCATGTAATCAATCATCTATGCTGTCTCTCTCGAATTTATTATCTTTCTCATGTTGGACCAGGTGATGGAGATTCAAGAGCTGAAATCTCGAATCTGGTTGAAGAGTTTCAAGTTGGATGTGATTCTATTTATGGTAAAAATTTCCTTACATATAATCTGCATATACTTTCACATTTAGCTGATTCTATTGAGAACCTCGGACCAAATTCAAACATGTCTAGTTATCCATTAGAAGACTACATGGGCATCATTAAGGAAAAAGTTCATCGCTATTCGAACATTGGACCTTCGCTAATTCGCTTTTTCATGTCAGACTTTCGATATAAAAACTACAAAGCCGAAAGACTAGAGAAATGGAACTTGTCAGAAAAAGAAAAGTGGAATTTTGGATGTTTAACCTCTAGAAATAAGTTAACATTCATTTCAGATAAATATCTGAATTCAAATTCTAAAATAACTGCAGTTGAATCGTTGAAAAAGAATCTTCGAATAACTTCAATTTCGGAAGCTGATCTAAATTTCTACTATTCGGTCAAAAAAGATGGCAAAAGATACTCTTCGAGAAGATACTGTGAAAAATGTCAAGAGATGATTCAAAAATAAAGGGCAAAGACGGACAGTTCTACTCTATTGAGTATATTATTCGATACAACTCGAAGATATATTTCCTGTGCTATTGGTATCAAGTAAAACAAGTTAATATTGCCTACAAAGGATTTACTGGATCTTTCCGTTTCTCTCTACCAAATACATTCGAAATTGATAAAATTCTGGAAAAAGAGCTTGTGTGTTTGCGTGCGGAATCAGTTATGGGAAAGGTTATTTATATTGCGAGCAAAAACTTCAGCCATCGCTATGTGAAAGATCACATTGTCGAACAGTATCTTTGGCACAAGTGAACTCAATCCATTCCTAAATTATGGCGGCAAAAGGATTTGAATGGATCTTTTTTCTCATGAAAAAAAAGCTATTCGTTTGAAAACGCTCAGTGATCAAGTGCCGTCTAATTTTCGCCTAGAATTTTAATCTCAGTTAATTTTTATTGAATTGGTTTAATTTCTCACAATCTTTTTTTAATTTGTGATAATCAACAAGTGTGGAACCAATTTGATTTCAATAGATCTAATTCTTAAGTGTTTTTAAAGTACAAAAGTAAGTATTTCTATTTAACCCATTCTTGAAACGAAGCTTATTTTTCATTTGGCTATTCTAATCTTCAATAGAAGCGCAACAATGGCCAATGAAAATGTAAACATTCAATTTAATTTCGAGGAAACAATTAATGTCAACATCATCATCAACATTTCAAGTAAATCATCACCATCGTCATCTGAAAAAGATCACCAAATTTCAAGATCACACAACATCGTCCAAGAAAAAGATCAAGAGAATGAAAAGATTAACGATATGGATTGGACACTGGAAGTTGAGAAAATGGAAATTGATCCCATTTCGTTTGACACTATGGATTATGACCTCGAAATTGATTCAATGGATTTTGAAATGGAAACAGAGAATCATTATTAAGATTTTTTCGCAGTTTCAAATTCTGCATTACAACCTGTCAAAGTTACAAAATTTAAAGATGATCAAGCCAAAGAAAATTTCACAAATTTAAACCTCACATTTGTTTCATATGCTTCAATAGCCTCTCAGTACTTTTGAAAAATCTATTTTTATATTTCATGGAACCCCAATTGTTTATACGAACTATTTCTCAAATTCTATAAAATTGTAGAAATCTAATCATTTCCTATTAGTACAAATTCACAAATTCAAAAAAAAAATCTGAATTTAAATTTCAAATACATGAAAAAAATTTGAAAACAAAAAGCTTTTGTTTGTTTACATTAATTACCGACGCGTTAATAAGCGGATCTTTTTCCCGAAAATCTGTGAAAACTCCCGATTGTTTTCCGGTTGACTTTTTAAAGCTTTTTTTGAAAAATCTAGAAATTTAGATAATTGGAAATGATTTTTTCCAACAATTAAGTCAATTTCTTGATTCAAAAAGAGACTGAATTCACCATGATTCAGTTTATGATTCAATATTGATTCAAAAAAAATTCATTTCTGTTCAGAAAAATTTCTTCTGTTGATTGGGTTATCATGAATTGTATTGATTTTCAGTGATTCTGATAATGAAAGTTGACACAAAATGAGATGATGATGATGCACATTCACTTATAAATTGATTGTAATTCTATTTGAAACAGAGATGATTTCGGCTTTCAGCCTTTTCTTTATAATAATTTCAATTGATCCATTAAATTGAAGCTAATTGTTTAAGTTAATTAGATCGTCATTGTCGAGTGAGATGATGAAGGTGAGTATCTCTTAAGTGATAAAGCATCTCATTGCCAATGAGAAATATATGTTTATCTTTTTCACTTCTTTTACTAAATAAATACACTTTTCACTTGTTATTTTTCTGCCTTTTCAACTTCCCTGATTGTTTATCATCTTCATCACCATTGATTCATTATTTTTCACCAATCTAGTAATGTGATTTATATATAATAAATGATTCTCATCGTCACTGGTGATGATGTTACAAAAGTGTTTCGATTGTAATGGAAAAGGACTGTAAGATGATTTTGTCACCTACAAATGATAACTCAACTTCTTATGATTAAGAAAGTAAAAAGTAATGTATAGTTGATCAGCTGAAAGAAAATAGATGAAGAAAAAAACATCTACTCATTGTAATAAGTGGATAAGTACACCAACAGAAAAGAGGAAACATTGAACTTCCATGAATATTTATTGTTCAAGACTCTTGACCAAAGCTCTACGATTTATGATTTATTTAATATTCTTTCTCTAGATGAGTACATTGTTATTATTAGTTGTGAGTTTCAATATTCTCATTATGATGGTAAGAGTAGGTATTCATATTTAAATGAAAGATTCAAACGAGGAAAAAATTTTTCTCATGTCAGATTTTTCCCCTTGCTCAATCCATTGATTTCACTCAGTCAAAAGTCAAGTTCATGGGTCATTCATTTTATATAAGGTAACTAGAAGTAGCCTTCAACAGTAATCATCTGATGAAAGCGTTAATGTTGTTTGAAAGAGAAGTCAAATTCATTTTGAGTGAACAGTTTTCATGATAATCGGCTCATTGAGTTTGTCAATCGAGAAAAAAGTAACATTTTTATCGATTGACGTTCATTGAAAATTAGACAATTTTCACTTATCATAACCATCAATGAACTTTAATATATCTCATAATATTGCTCTTTTCTCACAAGATTTCATCATGCAATTATCTAATTGTATTCTTAGTATTCTTGACACAATTTCTCTCTCTCTATTTATAACTTTTCTTAGTTATCAACCAGTTCCACATCAATTGGTTTCAGTCACTTCGTTGACAGCTCCTGAGTCTTCTTACATGTTCATCATGAATACTGTATATTTCAAACAGTAAATAACCGTTATCTTAATCGTTTCCAGTAAATGTTTAGCTTCAAAAGTAATGTGTTGAGAATAGTAGTTAGAAAAAGGTGGACTCTGGACCAAGTGATGTTTCTGGACCAGAGTCAAGTGATGATTCTGAACCAGGTAAGGTTTCTGGACCAAGGGGTTCCGAACCAAGTGAGGCTTCTAGACCAGAATTTTTTGAATAATTTTTGTTGAGCATTTTTTTGGCGCGAAATTTGAAATTAGTAGGAATAGTATAAAAGAGGATGAGCAGAATAACTTCAGCTCATTCGATGTGATGAAACATAACATGATTTTACGAATCATCATTTCTATAATTATTACAGTAATTTTACTTCTAATATTCCGTGCACTATTTTTTGATAATATTAAATATATCCAAATCAATTTGGCCTGATTATCGTATTGATAATGTAGTTTCAATATGGTCAATTGGACCAATAGACATCAAAGTAGACAACACGAACCGAAAGAAAAAATTCAATGCTCAAGTTATACGAACTGATAATGGTGTGCTGCTGGTTTTTGCATCAGGAAAAATTACAGCAACTGGATTCAAAAGTCTACCCATGACAATTCTGTCATTGATGGAAACGTTCCCTGATCGTTAAATAACATTTATCAGAATATCTAATATAACAGCATCAAGTTATAATTCAGTTAGATTTAATACTGAAAAACTGAAACAAATATATTGCAAAAAAGATACAAGTTATGAACCTGAATTATTCCCTCCAATATATACTAGTACAAAACTAAATGGACTAACCATCATGTACTTCCATACTGGATCAATTGTAATTGTTGGCGCGAAAAGTGTTGAACAAATTGAAACCGCGATTGCGCAGTTCATGGACAGAATCAAATCACTATAAATAGAGAGTTTCAACTAAATGAAAGTTCATTTGTCATTTGAACTTTGAAGAGTAAACATCAAAAATAGGTTGTGTAATCTGGAGAACACATAGAATTTTTAATGGACCAATCATCTTTAAAATTTCTCGAAGTTAAAAGTGCAATCGACTGGATATACGTTATAGTTATAATAGTTCACCAACTAAACTCGGAATATCTTTAACACCATCAGCATTTAAATTTGTATTCAATTTTTACAACAATAATGATTTACGTAATGAACAAGCCTTCTTCTATGACGTGCAAATCAAAAGAAACGGGAGTGAGACATTAAAAATAATGAAAAAAGATTCTTGTGTTCTAACTCCAATGGATTTCTGGAGAGAAGTTACGCCATTTGTTCATGCTGCACTATTTTTGTTATCCAAGGATATACCTATCAAACAGCTAGCTAACAGGTAACTAATTACAATGAATAGTTCATCTTCATCATCATTATCTCCTCCACCACCTCAACCACCATCATCATCACTATCATCTGAATCTGATGACGATGTGTTTATGAATTACATCAGGTAAGGTTTTCTCATGTCTATGATATTGTTTTTAATTAACTTCATATATATTGTACTTATTTCAGAGATTTTTTAAATCAAAGGGGACCGGTAACACATAAGATTGACCTGATCTTCAGTTTGATTGAGATGTCCCACTCATTGAGTGATCGCAAGAAATTCATCGTTAAAAAAGTGTCGAAATATGCGATGGAGCAATTAATAAACGGGCGAGCTACGCAAATTACTCATCACCTCAATTCAAGGATCGATAGTTTGATTCAACAGTGTGGTGAAATTGATGACCAGTTCAATCAAGAAGCGGCTAAAAATGCCAAACTTTACGCGCAAAATTGGTCATTGAAAACTGCTCTAAAAATATTGCAGGATGAAAATCAAGATAATTAACTTTCATTCATTGATTGGGTGATTCGCAAAATGGGGACAGAACTAGGTGTAAAAACTCAATGGTTTCACCCCGATGGCCGAGGAAGAGGCCTTTGATTTCATTGTATAGCTATTTTCATAAACTCATCATCATTTCAATAAAAATTTCAATTTGAATTTACCGCTAAAAAAATGCTCAACAAAAATTATTCAAAAAATTCTGGTCTAGAAGCCTCACTTGGTTCGGAACCCCCTGGTCCAGAAACCTACCTTGGTTCAGAATCATCACTTGACTCTGATCCAGAAACATCACTTGGTCCAGAGTCCACCTTTTTCTAACTACTGAGAATCAATACCATGATCTTCTCAATCAAATCTTGTAAATCGATATTGTCGAAGACAAAAATCGGAAGTAGTTATAATAAGACCGGCTCCAGACCAAAGTGCCCGATCCAGACCAAATTATTTCTCAATTTTTCTAATTTTTTTGCGCGCGAAATTTAAATTTTTTGTAGACAATAAAGTGTGTAGTTATTTGTGAGTATTGTTTTTATGATATCTTTTACTTGAAAGATAATGAAAAGAAGATAATGATGCTCAAAGTGAGCGATTAGAGGCTGGGAAATCCTCTCTCTTGATACCGTATTCTTGGTTTAATTTTTTCAAAGCCCAATCAATAAATTTGATTTCTTTGTTTCCTTCCGGGCCTTCCTGAATTTGTAATAGTTTTCTCATTTTGAGATTTTCTTCCTCAGTGCTTTTGTGTCTTTCATTGAGCTCATCAAACTGGTTCATCATAATATCTATTTCGATGAATAGTTCATTAAGTTTGACTCTCAAGCCAACTAATTTGCTTGATACTCCAGGCTGAACCAATTTTATAAGTAGGCTGGTAACAGTTTCCTTTATTAATAATTTTTCTTGGTGGTTGAGCCGAGGTATTGATTCTATTACAGAGGCGATGATGTTTATTTCAATAGAAGCTGGCACTGACGAGAGCCGATCCAGCCGAGAGAGATGATGATAAAATCATGTTATGTTTCATGGAGATCACCGTATCGAATGAGCTTATCCTCTTTTATACTGTCTTTAAAACATTTAAATTTCGCGCGCAATAAAATTAGAAAAATTGAGAAAAAAATTGGTCTGGATCGGACACTTTGGCCTGGAGCCGGTCTTATTATAACTACTATAGGAAAAGAGTAAAATTCAGGTTGTTAAGGTTAGGACAATAAATTTTACTCGATTTAAACACATCAGTATAAGGGGAAGTGGCAAACCACAACATATTTGAATCACAATAAATATTTTAATAACTTTCAATATCAAACAGGATAAGTCTTTTATTATGTCTTGGTTGCCAGCATTTCAAAGACGAAAATAGGGAGAGAGCTCTGATTTATTGATCTTGTCTAACCCTTCTTCTCTGTATCTAATTACACAAGCCACCCTAAAGGAAGTTTGTACAGAGAATCGTTTTATATGGGGAATGATTATCAGCGCTATATGTTGAGACCGAATATGCACCTTATGCACCAAATAGTTTAAGAGTGGAATCAACAAAAGAGAATCAACAAAAAAGTCGAGTTGGCATGCTTTCATGATTTAAAATACTAATCTGATTATGTACCAAAATGAATTCCATGTGATTGAAATATTTAATTACCATGGTTGGGAATTAACTTTAATTATTTTGCCTGTTTACTATTGTTCAACCATTTAAGTAAAATTAAAGTTAAATGATCCTTTATCACTGATTCCCTGATAGTTATACTAACTATCATTTACCATGATGAGATTAACTTTCGATTACAGATTAAATGAATTTATAACTTTTAGTAACAGAGTAAAATATTATTATAACAATAATATTTCAATCTATGAACCGAGATGTATTGAGGTTAAAAAATAAAAGGTTAACATTATAACCAGAATTTGCTCAAGGGCATGAGCCTGTCGAGAAAATTTTATTGAGTTACAAGATTTCTAACAGAGATAATATCTATGAATGGAAAGATTTCAATTTAAAGAATAATTCAATGATCTGATTATTGAATTATTTCCATAAAAATCTATCAAATTTCATGATAATTTAAGGTTAACCTGAATCCATCTTTCGTGTTGTATACATATGTATGTTTTTCATGACTCGGAAGTTTTCAACCTTCAGAATCAGAGTTTAGATTATATTTAAAATTATCATCATCATGTCTCGCTTAGAATTATAATTACATGTTGATGATGAATTTTTACTGAATCATCGAGAATGAAAAGTACGAAAATGGTTTCACATTTCACTGTGAGAGTAAATAAAATTATATTTAATTGAACTCAATTGGAATCAGAAAATTGGAGCAAAAATTAACAATTCACATGAGAATTTTATGAGTATTTCAAATGTTATGAATAATATTCACTGAACGAATTCCTTGTCATATCTTTTCCTTTTTCTTCCATGTGAATTTCCTCTAGTAATGTAAATATTTAGTTCCAATGTTCATTCATCATCAATAGTTAAGTTTATTTGTTTCCAGCTATCAACTGAATCTGACTTATGAATTTAGTGATAAACCTGACGATTTCAATCTCTCTCTCTTTTCATTCATCTTGCACCATAAAAATCCTCAGGATAAAATTATCTTAGACTGTTTCTTTTTATTATATCCAACTGAGTTCAAGAAAATGAAAGACAAAGTAATAAAAAAAACCAACATTGAGCTCTCAACATGATCAAATAAACTCAGAGTTACGAAATGATAACAATGTTACAATTGGATTTTGATTATTTCATTATCAGTTGTTTGACCAAGGGAAATGTTAAAAAGTACCAAAATATTAAAATAATAATAAAATGTTAATATTGAATTGAATCTATCGATTCGGATGATACAAATTTAATGAACTTTTTTTGCTCATCTCGACGATTATTATTTCAAACTGATGAAAAACTTCAAACTTTTTTTTCCAATCTCAGTCAAGTTAATCACACTGTTCCTCAGTGAGAAAATGATTCTTACCTGAATTTCCCTTTGAGTCTGTTATTCTCAACCAGAAAATAATTGTTTAAAATTTAGAAAAAGTTCGAATAGGCTCTTTACAATCTTATATCTCTACTGATATTCTATTATCGGTTCCAATCTCAATCAGTAATAAATTGAATTTCATCCATGATGAAAATTTGCTGATAACAGTCTGATGATGAGGAATAGAATTGCAATTATCTGTTCAGATAGAAGTTTTTTATTCTTTATTCTTTCTTTTTTCTTATTCAATTATCTAACGTACACTCTATCAGATTCAATCTAAAACAATGAACAGAATTCTTTTTTTCATGTGAATTTCTGTTAATTTTTCATCTATGATTATATCCATTGGGATAAAATGAGTTTTCACCTTTTATCTTTACTTTTTACCTGATTTTGATTTGGTCTAATTAAATCTGACAACGATTTTGGTGTTTAGATTTTTTATCCTTGTTGGAATACTTTTTCTGGGTGAAAATGATGATATTTTATCATCTAGGTCAAGGGTAGAAGTGAAAAAAAACAATGAATCGCTGAGGAAATAGAGTGATGAATACTGCTGGTATAATGGATGATGATTGTGATTGTAATTGTAGCGTAATTATCATGTTCATGGTGATAACAATATACGATTATCATTAACCCATGTTTTGATTGATCTCATTAAATAGACTTCGTATGTTTGAAAAGATTATCACCAAAGTGATAATCTGTAAGATTCATGAGGAACTGCTCTTCTCAATTTTCTTTCAGTTGGTGTTGTCATTATCATTGTTATAACATTTTACTCTGGCGGTGCTGAAACTTCAAAGATTAAAAGCAATCAATGAGAATTTATAATGCATATTAACATAATGTTACTAAAATGATAGATAAAATACTCATACCTTGAATGAATTTCACTTTCTATGGATTTAAATTTTTATTCATCATGTAATCATATATTAAGAAATGTAAAGCCACTAATTGCAAAACTATTTCCCATTTTCTTTTGTTTCTCAACAACTAAGTCTACAGCAACTTAGTTGCTTCATATCTACATCTTAACAGTTAAAACTCGAACTTTACCCGTTCGCGCACTGAATGAGTGTTTCGTTGGAGAAAGTTGCTCGTCTAGAGTTTCCTATTGCGAGTTTTCCGTTGATGGTTTACCAAGATATAAATTTAAAAGCTCAGGAGTGACAATTTGTACCGGAACTGGTTCAACTTCCTGGTCTTTCAACATCAATCGTTTAACCGTTCAAAGTGTTAAAAGATTATTTCAAATTGTCCAAGAAGAAACTGGACAAAATGTTGCCTCTAATGAGGAAACAATTAAATTGATCACCAAACGTCAATGATTCTAATTTTGACGCCTGAAACCTGTAATGGCCTATTCGGTTCGTGATCCCATAGTGACAGGTTCTAATGATGATTATACTGATTTGCTTCAAAAATTGAAATACGATCACGAATGTTTGATGCTTGCGTTGTTATCGACGGTGGCCTTTCATACAGATTTAACGATGGGACAATCGCTAAATTTGAAATACACGAAGAAGATGCTCTTAAAACAGTCCAACTTTTTCCTTGTAACAAACAAGAGAACACAAAACAATGACACTTAAAATATCACAGATATTAATCACAATTTCCATTAAAACTCTTTTGTTTATTAGCTCAAATTACAATAGTTTCCATTTTTTCATTGATTCAATTTGAGTTTTTCATGCTACTCGATATAAATTAAATCGAAATACTCAAACTCTCTCTCTCTCTCTCTCTCTCTTTCTTTCTTTCTCTCTCTATCTAACTGCTATCTCTTTATTCGTTAATTTTTGCTTTCATGACAAGTCAAGTCAAAGTCACAATTGCCAATTCACCTAGGTAATGATAACCATTTAGAGATGAATTTTGATTGATTTTTATCTAATCGGATGACTATATTAAGATGATCGAGATCATCGATGAAGTGATCAAATGGATACGTACTAGAAACCTTTAGCCAAGTACTTTTCTGATCACCATGAATATTTACCATGAGATTTCATTGAAATTTGTAGAGCTGAAACGCACCATTATTTGGCTATAATTGAGTGTGAATACTAATATTATAATGATAGTATCACTTTTACAAGTCTCATGGTAATACTTTTCTTAGCTATTTTTCAAGTTAACATTATAACGTGATAATAATCATGATTTTACTAAGATAACGGCGCAGGCTATGCAGAAATTGATATAATCCAGATTATATACTGTGAATAACTTTGTACGTGTATTAATAATCATAATATTATTGCTATTATGACATAATAAACATTACCAATGTTATGATTATAATATTAATAATACAAAGATGATAATGATAGCCAAACAGTTTGGGGTCATAACAATGAACAAATAGTAATCTTTATTATATCAACAATTCTTATTATATTCTTCTGAAACAAATACCGATTCCCTTTCTCTATTCTATCAACTTTATACTAGTGTTATATTATTTATCTTTTTAGTTCTAAAAAAAGGTATTCATAAGGCTATTCATTATGATAATGATGCTGATAATGAAGATAAAATTCCTATTATAAATGTTCAGTCATGATAAGGTTAATGGTATCATGTCTAACTTATCAATTAGCCTTTTGAAGCTACAGGTTCAGAATTTACCTGAGTATAAAGAGATACAAATGATAACATTGGAATTTATGAGAATTACAATTAACTTTTTCCATTTCTTTAGGGAAGCATTTAGATTATCATTGGAGTGATTGTTATCAAATTAATTGAACACAGATAAACATGTTAAACTATGTGATAGTTTTAGATAATTGAATTTATGAATTCAGTCTGGATTTTTGATTTCTTCTCATGATAAAATGCATATTAACTTTTCACATATAGTCATTTGTTATCCATGATGACGGAGCTTCTGATTATCATCATAAAATAAATATATGGAACATTATGAGAAGCAAAAATATTATCATGGATTTTTTATCAGAATTCTCTGTGTTTAGACAAGAGAAAGTGTTTTTTTTTCTCCTCCATCCTTGAGTCTAAGTATAATGTGAGGATGATGGTGAAGATAAAGATGAAGATAAGAGATGATTATAATTTCAAGATGAGTGAATTCATGATGTATATTGTGTTGTTGTAAAATTTTTAGCTTTTTTAAGATGATCCAAACTCCTTTAACTTATTACTGAAAATTAACATTTTCCAAGATTATTTTCCACCTCTGAGAATAATATTTGGCAGAAATTTTCATTCTCATGGTGATCATGATATTTCCTCAGGTGATACTGAATTTTTTTCATTCATAATCCCTGAATATTCAAGTGTAACTCTCTCTCTCTCTCTCTCTCTCTCTCTGTCCTCTGGATTATCATGAAGACCATGAGATGAATTCAATTTTGGTAATTGACCATGAGATAGCAAATACTATCGATAATCATTAAATTGATGTAATAATCTCCAGGTTATCTAATTATCCTTTCCAACTCTCTACTTTTGTCAATTAACTAAATTAGATTAACCCTTTTTTTCCTGCTTGGATATAATTATGATGATTTCCACTATTCATAACGATTAGAATCCATGGTCATCATTAACGAAACCAAAGCTCATTTATAATCCAAGTAAATGGCTTAATTTAATTCCCCTGCAATTGAATATCTTTACAAGTACAATTTTGTTCATTGACAGAATTACAATTAGACAGAAAAATAAATCCAGTCAACATAAAAATAAGACAATTGTTCACATGAGATTTAGACGCTTGTGTATTGTAATACTAATGCTCGTATTTACAATCAAAATTTTCAAGATTCAGTTAAAATGCTCAATAATCAGGAACACGATAATCATGATAATACATGGAAGAATAAAGTAAAACAAATGAAGTGAAATCGTGGCCCAATTTTTTTTTATACAGCAAATGATTTCCATTGAACCGATGAATATAACAATTGCCTATGGAAAACTGCTTATGATAACTTTTCATGATAATATGATAATAGCGATGAAAGGAAAGGAAAGGTGATAAATAAGTTCTGTATTCAGTAACACACCCATAGAGTTTCTCTCTCATCTCTTCAGTCTGTGTTATAGCCTGATCCAGTTTGAGTCATGGAATGTTTTTCTTGTCATCAAGTTGATATAAATATTTCTATCCACCCAGAGAACTGCATAAAATAATACAAGAGACTGTACTAATAAAAGAATGTTGAACTGACCATGCAACAATTTGTATACTATTTGAAAAAAGTTCTAATGCAAAAGCGATCTTTTTTTCTCATTGGAATCTCAAGGTTATTATCATGTTATTGGTCATCAAATAGAAAATTACTGACCATTTATTTACCTCTCTCTCTCTCTCTCTCTCTCTCTCTCTCTCTCTCTCTCTCTCTGACTCCTATTTCCTTTTCTATGGTGTTTTCAGAACCTCATCTTCATATTCTAGTTCACTATCAATTGTATTGAAGGACAGGAAGAAAAACATTATGAGCTATTTGTAATGGTCAATAAAAAAAGTTCTGGTCACTTTGTTTTCCCTTTCATTTTACTTTTCTATTGACACGAACAGCTACAATAACTTCAACATTACCTTTGTTACTATTTATCTTTATTTGGTCAACTATCTATTGGTCACTTTTGAAAATTTCTTGAGAAAATACTCCCAGTGAATGGATAAACAATGAACTAAACTAAGTTCAAATAAAAGTATTCTGATTGTCAGTTATGAGTTAATCAGTGGATTCAGTGTATAAATAATAAAATGCTGTTATTACCTGAGACTCATTTCGCTTGGTAATCCAGTATTAATCCAAATATTATGTTCTAGGAATAAACAACAATATTCACCATGAAGAGAACGAGAGAAATCAAGTTGTCAAATTAAAGATAAATTGTAACAATTTAAGTTTGATTATCTGGTAGAAACATTGTTAACATAAGTCAAGTCAAAAATTGATTAGAAAAACCATCAAAGGAACAACGATAAAATCAACACATAGATACAAAAGTAAATTAAACGATAATTAGTTATAATTGTTGGATAAATTGTTAATCATTTGCAATTGTAATTGTCGATAGCGTAACAAGTAACAGTGAACCCACAAGTTTCATTATTCAAGGTAAATACTCTCAGTTGTAACCTGGTCTATTTAATTGTAAGCATGATCATGGGAATTCAATAAGTATATCAAAATTGTGCTGACATCTTATGATATTAATTGGAAACAAATTTTCAATGGATTGAAAAAAGTTAACTCGACATGATCAACAATCAGTCACCAGTGGATACATGAGATGGCGACTGTAGATACAGGGAGTGAATTCTTGTTGAATATCCTCCATGGATCATGCTTGTTTCATTATTCAGAGATGAGGTATTATTTATAAATGTGCGACTCGACTTATCTATCATGTAGTTTTCGTAAAAGTTTTCATCAGATCCTTTCTATCATCTTAATTACCAAAAATAATCAGAAAATTTTCAAAGTTTAACACAAAATTACGAACTTAATTTTCTTACCCACAATTGGATTTAAATTTTTTCCCTTGAATTTTATCAACTTATCAACTGTTTCTGTTGCTATCTAACAATTAAATAGATTGTTAAACGAAGTTATAAGACAATAGTTATCGTACATTTAAGTTTGTTCAAGTTTTATCCAATTGGATTAAGAAAAATTCACTCCAACATGTTATCAATCCAATTGAGGAAAAGTGTTTAATTATTGGATGTGCTCATTGGAACAGATTTTCAGAATAATCTATTGATTGGCTGATTTAATTGCAATCAATTAACCTTGCGACCATGCTAGTCAATTCAAGGTAATTTAATCATTTTGACTGTTTGATTGATTGATCAACCTTTTTTTTATCATGATTCTCATATTACTGCCAAAGTAATTCAATAATGATTACAAGACTAATTAAGTAACTATTAATAGTTGTACTTCCAAATGTAATTTAAAACTTACTCAGAATTTGTTGTTCTGATTATCATGATTATGAGGGTACATGAAAGTAGCTAATGGTTATGATAATTTACTCAATATATCAGCGAGTTACCTGTAATGTTATGATAAAAACTGAGCAAGAATCTTGATTATGTAGGAAATTTAAGTTAACAACCTTATCGACAGAAATTTGTTTATCATTAACATTGGATAAAATTATAATATAACTGAAATTAGATCAATGAATTCTATATGTATTCTCATATAATACATGAATGATTATGGATACGAATAAAAAATATTCTAATATAAAATCTTAGAGAATGTAAATGTTAGTTTACCTGTTCTTTTTGTCTGTACAATTTTAACATTAGAAAGTCTCCAACTATTTATTCACCCTCAAGGTAAAATTGTCATTCTCAAGAAGATATTTCCATGATTATCATAATATTTCCCTTTTATGATTCATGAAAATTCATTTCCCTTTCATTCAATCTGAGAGGTTGAACTTTTTTTTTTCTTCAACGTAAATACATAAAGAAACTTTATCTTATACTTTTGATGATCGCTTGAAATTCACTATAAATCATGGACATAATGACCTATGTAATTGTCCATCTTTCCCGCCTTTCAATTTTCATGTTCATTAATCAATTCAGAATTTAACTGATCCTTCAACAATCATGATCTTAACCATTATTCAACTTTACATCCTGAGGTTTAATGGTAAACATTTTTCATAACTTTTTTCTCAATCTTCTTCATTTTTTTTTCTCGTTTCCTTTTATCAACATTACCTTTACTTCAATACTTACTCTCCAGTGGTCAAGGTTCACAATGGACAATCCATTCCAATCAAATAATGACCAGTAACATTTCATCACAGCTTAACAACGAGCTTGGTTCAAATCCAAAGTTAATCTTCAACTATCTAACTAAATCATATCCGGGATTAATTTATATCATAGTAAGTAAGATTTTTTCACTTCTGTCCAATTATAAAAATGAAAATTTCAAACTCGACTAATTAATGTTCAATCAAATGCTAACAACGATAAATGGTTGAAACTGAATGACAACAACAATTAACAAGACCCAATTTACTTTAATGATGAGAATATATTTTCTATTATTTTTATCTGAATAAATTGTTCTAATCAACTAATCAAGGTGAATGTAAATCATTATGAAACAAAGGATAATATTAACATTAGATGACTTTGAGTTGGAACAAAAAAATAATAGTAATTGAAATGATAATCACTCTATGACAATTGGATGATATTAATTGTTTCATTAATCTCTTAATCTCTTGTAAAGTTAACTCTGTTTATTTGCAAGTAAATTAATTTATATACGTATTTATGAATTTATTTTAATTGCTGACAATTAAAAACAATGAAACTTTTTCTTTGAAATGATTATGTGACGAATCCCAGTTTGGGAATTAACTTTAATCTGTAATTTTGATTGTCACAGACAAAAAAGGTAAACCAATTTAACCATGAAAAAATAATAAATTACTTTGAATGCTACATGACAATTTAGATTATCAGTCATTTATGATCAACAATTTAGTGATTATTATATTGTTATTAATTAATAACATTGTGAATCAAGGGATTGATTAAGAATTAAATTTAATCACTTTGATGTCTATTTAAAAGTGACAGTTATTTGGTTTATGACAAAAGGAAAGAGAGAAAATTTTCAAAAAATAAAACTAATATCAAACTAATAACAATGATAATAACACAATGTAATAAGTTTGTATGTGTGACAATCAAAAGTAACAATTTATAAATTGTTGACAACAATATTGTCATAGAAAAATAATAAATGGAAAAGTGTACATTTCATTTTCTATGACAATGAAAAATATATAACAAAAAAAATAACAGAATTCTGATCAACATTTTCACTTGAATTTTGATATTATTTTAAGTTGAAAACATGATTCCATCTAATGAATAGTATTAATATTATTTAAAGACTGCTGATTAAAGTGAATTGAAAAATTACTTCAACAATTAAGTCTCTCAATCTTTAAATAAGCATTTTTTCAAATATTATCATCAAGAGTCATGAGATTGAATAAATATCCTTCCTGAACTTTGAGCATCGTTGAAAATGATTACCTTGTTTTCAAACATTAAAAAGTTTCTTAATTTTCTTAAAGTGGTTTAATATACTTAAAATTGTATCAACTTGATACATTACCATCGTCTTAATGATCTTCATTCAAGTTACTCTCTCACTTATATTGGCTCTTGTTACCTTGAAAGTATTAGTTGATCAGTTGATATTCACCTTGTTTCCATGATAATCTGTAAAAAGGTTGAAGGATATAAATAATGATGTGAATAAAAAAGGATAAAATTAATATAATGATGACGATTTTCAAAGAACGAGGTAAGAGCACATTTTAATGAGTATAATTCCAAGTGTTTTCAATAGAAGTGAATATTACAACTCGATTGATTGAAGGAGTGAAGAAAAAAGTTCACATGTTGAAAAGTTGAGATGATAATAAGTTTCAATTGGAAATGTGAAAAAATGTTTCATGGTTCAGAAGCGTACAAGTAAAAAGAGACAATTTTCCACCCTGCTATTCAATAATAAGCTGATAATATCCATTGAACCCGAAACTTATTTCCTTACAACTTTTTTCTTCTCCTTCTCTTCCCTTTCAGTCCCACCCTTACAAGTGACAATTGACATTTTCAATAATCATATATTTCAAATCAACGAATGCAATCACTATGAATGATATTTCATGATGCAAAAAAAATATATTATAATAATAATAGTAATCATTTACTTTTCTGTCTGCCTCTTTTGTTTTATATATATTAATACTTTCCTTTTTTTCCCAATCAGATTATTAGTTGCACGGTGATTCCCCATGAAATTATCATGTATGAATACTGAACAATTAGTTGAAACCTTTTTGATGTTGGCTTGATATCTGTTGCCATGAATATGATTTTGATATTAACTTTTGTTTCATCTTCACCTGAATACTAACCCTGTGTGTGATTTATTATATCAGAGCAAAATCTTTTTTTCCACAAGGTGGGAAAGGATGATGATGACAGTGGTGGTGGTGGAAAAAAAGTTTCATCTAAGCTTATATAATGATGAATCTATGAATAGCTTGAACTTTGAGGTGCGTAGCTAGGATTTCATCTGGTAACATTTATCAACCTTAGCATCCAACTGGGAGTGATTTTTTCAACACCTTTGCCAGAAATACTAAGTATTAGAATCTAATACTGATATTTTGACCAATGGTCAAAGAGAGAAGCAGTTTTGTTGAAATTTACTTTTTTTTGCTTCTTCACACTTTCTACCCTTTGCTCAGGGGTTTTTTTCTTACTCATTTTGATTCACCAGCATTTTGGGTGTGATTTACTTTCTTTTCATGTATAACCATTATCATTATCATCATTTTGATATCTTTTTTCTCATCCCAAGGTGAGTATTAAAGTAGAAGATGAAGAAGACGAGAAAAAATATATAATGAGAGAAAAGAATAGAGAAAAAGTTTTTTTAGTTCTGATAGAACTGTGAGAAAAGGTAATCATTTCATTAACCCTGAGGCATTTCTCTAAGTAACTCAGTAATTTATCCTTTCAGATTTACATGGTTTATGTATTTTACTAGCTATCATTATTGTCATCATCATCATCATGAACATGATGAATATACTTTCTCTATTTCTCTACTGGGAAAGATTATTACATGTTCTAAGTTTTAACCCATTGGTTCAACTCAGCGTGACGAATATGAAGAAAAATGATTTCTGAATTTTCATTAAGAAACTCACACCCACCGATTCCCTTGAAGTTTCCATCATTATCACTGTCAATGGTAATATCATTTACCCATGAAGCTTGAAAGTTCATGAAATGTTAGATTACAGAGATAGAGATTATAATTATGTTTCTAATGAAACAACAGTTTGTGTATTATTCTCAGAATATAACATGTCAATTCTGTATAAAGAGCATTTTTTAGATTTACTGAATCGTTTTGTCTCTGTTTCATATTGATTGTCATTAGAATCGAAGACATTTGAGTAATAAAAGCAATTTCTGTAAAGGTTGCGATCATCAAAATTTCTGAACGTTAACTACCTGCATTGTACACAATGTACTTTATCATCTAGCAAGATTCAGTTCTCTGATTAATAATTGTTATTATGGATTCGGTACATCGGCTGTTCCGAGAAAGTGTAGACTGAGTTTTCATGAGGCCATTTTTATTCTTAAAAAAAGACGTTAACGCCATTCTGGCTAATGAAAGGAGGTTGAATGAGTATCGAAGGAGAAATTTTTTTCAAAACGTATTCAATTTCTATTTCAAATAATATAAGTGTAAATATTTACACCGAATGAACGTGAAAAGAAATCAAGATTTTCATATTCCTGTTGATTCTTTACATGAAATTTTAGATTCACATGATTATCATAATGCTATCATAAACTATAACTGAGTTCTGATGATGGGAATTTAATTTATCCACCTTTGAGATGATATAATGTAATATTGGTTTGAACAGAGAAAACCATGATTACCATGATGGTAAACAAAATGCTGGCTCATGATAATTCACATGCTAATGAACAGTATGAAAAAATATTCCAGTTTCAGATGCAAATAAATCTCTTGTGAACATGATTAATCTTATTAAAGATATTAAATACATGAATAAGATACTCTGAGTTATCTAATAATATGTAAGATTGTTAATATGACTAATTTGAAAACAGCGATGCTTTTATTATCTATGCGAAGCTAACAATATAAAAACTTTGTTTCGAAATTTTCAGTACTTTATTTTTATGTTGGTAAGATGAGCGTTAATGGTTGGAGGTGGAGCTAATAGCTATCCAACACACTTATCCCTGTGTTTGTTTAAATAAGGTTAGGTTAGGTCTTCATTAAAAGGGTCAAAATCGACAGAGGAAGGCCCGGAGGGCCTGGGACAATCAAGCGGTCTCACAATTAACCCAAAATTCAGTTTAATTTTTACATTTTGAGTATGGACATCAACGATAAGTGTGTTGAATAACCATTGGCTCCACCTCCATTGACCAATTCATTTATTCAACTAAATTTGTTCATTCTTGTTCAACTTGAAGATGGTGCAATTGCAAAAATATGTTTTGATGTCGATGCCCATAATAAAAAATTCGTGTTTAAATCAGATTTGGTCACGGTAAACAAAAATTATAATGAAAATGATCCAATTCAAGTTAAGGTTGAAAACGAAATCAAACCTTTTTTGTTCTTAACTACAGGTAAGATTTCAATCAATGAAATTAAATTTACATTCTAATTCGTTTTTTTACTTCCAGGATCATTCCAAGATTGTAAAACGGCGAGTATGACGAGACCGATTCCACGACCTGAAAAAGAGTTGACTGCTTCAGCACGAGGAAGAAAGGCTGATCGCAGTAATTCTCCTGGTCCAAAAAGGATGAGATCGGAAGATCATCAAGCTGCATCTACACCTGTTTTGTCATCAACTGGTCCACCAAGAGTGATCGATACCAGTCAAGCCGACATATCGACCGAAGTTGTTGTTGACTCTGCTCTTCTAATTCCGGTTTCGCCTGATCAGTCGTCAACACCTACGGTTACCACTTCCGCACCGGATGTCTAGCAGTCACAATCGGTAACACCGACAACTTCAGCAATTACACGCTCTCAATCTGGATCTTCTATTTCTGGTCGAGCAAATCCAGAAGTTACAGTTCGACGCTCACGATCTGGATCTCGAAGTCCAGGAGTAGGGGCTAGGCGGTAAAATACTGGTGTATTGGATTACCTTCACCAGTAAAAATCATTTATTATTACAAATCTCTTATATCTTCCAGGCTGAGCATTTGATTAGCTTACCAAATTATCGTGGCAGCTGTTTTATGATCGCTGTTTTGGTCCCCCTCTTCAACAATGTGC